TAATAAATTTAATATGTTGCCTGATGATTGCGTGAGCATGAAACTTGAAGTAGCAGCAAACAAGCCTTACGCTCTGCCTTTGTGGTGTTGAGCACTGTCAGCACTCTGGGTCTTTTGTTTTTGTGGAGCGCTTGGGTTGCAATGAAGCCGAGACCCTATGGTCGGTCAAGCTGCCCCTGCCTCTCCCCCACTCCTGCCATTCCATTATGTCTCATCGCTGCCTTGCTGCTTTGTGCCGTCAAATGGTGTGTGTGTTTTTTGTAAAAAAAATTATAAAACATCCTTCGGTAATAAATTTAAAAATAATGATAAGACCGCTCATCTGTCAGGTCGCTACAGCCAGAAGAAACGTACAAATACCTCGGGTTCCTGGAAGCCGGACGTATGGACCATTCAAGTATGAAGACGAAAATCATGCAGGAGTATACATGGCGTGTGCGACGAGTGCTGCGTTCAGCTCTAAACGGCCACAACATCATCACAGCCATCAGCACCTGGGCTTTGGCTTTCACTGGTATATTGGCATTGACGCAAGACGAGTTGAAACCTGCTGACCGAAGAACGCGTAAGCTTATGACTACAGTATGCATGGAGCTCTCCATCCACGCGCTATTGTAGCCCCTATGTACGTCTGTCGCAAGGAGGGTGGACGTGGTTTGCAGAGTATTCATGATGTTGTCACCATGGAGAAAAGCAATCTGCGGCGTTATGTGCTTCCGTCAGACAAGGAACTACTGAAGGTACACGTATTGTACACGTATATTAAGACCCCTTGATTTAGGCTTCGGCCTTTGGGGAATCCCTCAAATAATACTTGATAAATTATAATAATAAGGTGGCTGCGCCCATACCGTGGCCACATCTGGATGCCCCACCGGACTCTTCACAGGTGGTGAAGTGTCGGCTTCAAAAAGAACACCTCTTGGCGTGGACCTAGAAACCCTTGTATGGACAGTTTGTCCGGCAAACAGAACAACTGACCAACGAAAACACCTGGAGTTGGCTGAAAAAGGCTGGTCTCAAGAAAACCACAGAGAGCCTGATCATCGCGGCACAAGACCAGGCCTTGGCAAGTAACCTGCTCAAGGCCCAAATCTTCCATCAGGACGGAAGCCCCCTGTGTCGAATGTGTGGGAAGGCAGGCGAGTCGGTTGCCCATATCCTATGCGAGTGTTCAAAGCTCGCTGGACGGGATTACTTGGAGCGTCATAATCGGCTGGCCTCTCTGGTCCACTGGTCACTCTGTTGTGTACATGGGATACCATGTGAAGACAAGTACACTACAAACAGTGCAAGCACCACTGTGATCCGGTGCTTGAGCATACCTAGACCAATGCAACGGTACAAGAGCATCCTTCACCCGAGGATAACGTGCCTGAAGCTAGAGATACTTCAGACTCTCTTTCTCTCTCACTCTCTCTCTCTCTCTCTATCTTGCTCTCTCTCTCTCTCTCTCTCTCTATCTTGCTCTCTCTCTCTCTCTCTCTCTCTCTCTCTCTCTCTCTCTCTCTCTCTCTCTCTCTCTCTCTCTCTCTCTCTCTCTCTCTCTCTCGCTCTCGCTCTCGCTCTCGCTCTCGCTCTCTCTCTGCTATTATATATTATATTATATTATATTTATTACAACATCTCAAGACTCGGTGGAAACACCGGCCAATGTTAAGAGAGTGGGTGATTGCCAAACCACGGCGATAAATAAAAAAAGGCGCGCCTGGTTGTGATGAAGCCGAGACCCAAGGTCGGCAGAGCATCCCAGACCACGCCACCACTCCCCTTATTCATGGCTCACTCATGACGGGTTTACGTGGCTCTAGTAAAAAAGAAAAAGGAAAAAGAAAAAAGGAAAAAGAAGACGCCAAAGTCTCTCCGCAGGACCAGAAGACCAAGATTCCGTGGGATTTCACCATCTGGTGCGACCGCTTCATTGAGCACCGACGGCCTGATGATGTTCTGGTTGATGGACCTGCCAAGAAGGCCCTGATCATTGACACTCTCCCCCCCCCCCCGATAGGCGTCAGCCTTTGGGTAATCCTGAAATAAGTATATGTTATCGCATGGTTGCAAGGGCCTTATGGCATATTATTGCCCCGAGAGGTTAGTCCGAGGGCCGTAGGCCCGAGGGCTAACCTCGAGGGGCAATAATATGCCATAAGGCCCGCAGCAACCATGCGATAACAAATTTATCACATGGCCCACAGAGCAGACCATTGGGCTGCTGTTCAAATTAGCCCAAATGCCAACACATTATGACCACAATGTATATTGATGTGCTATCATTATCAAAACAGGAAAAATGAAGACATTTCTCCTACACCCTAACAAAAAGTCTGCTACAGGCCATCAGAGAGTATACAGTACTGAAAGACGGAGACAGAAAAAAAGTGCCGGCACCGCATCGTCATAGCAATAGACATGGCAACGACAATAAAATACAGCAGAATCATAATTTCAGTTGAAAAATTAAGAGTGCTACCACAAAGAGTTTCTTCATGTTTACATGATTGTGTATCAGGAAGTTGTCAAATACAGTACTGCAACAAGTGCAAGTATTTGACGACTCCCTGGTGTGTAATTCTGAGGACAATATTATTTTCTTCTTTTTTTTTCAGCTCCAGATAGCTGTATTTTTCATTGCAAAACATTCCTGAATTGTTGTGTTTGTTGTTCAAGCAAAGGTGAAGGCAGAGGATAGATGAGCCTGGTAAGAGTTTTTCGTGGCACATGAAGACCACACACAGGCAGTGACTTTGCGAGGATTTGAAAACGCACGACGCTGAGTTGAATTTGTGTTATTTCAAATAATTGTTTGTGATCACAGTACCACTTCGAGCAGAACTGAATCTTATCCACAAGCTTACCGACGGTCAGGCTGCCAACATGACTGAACAAATGATCCCTGCAAGCACCACACGGCAGACGTCCGAGGCCATGTCCATTGCCGGGATGTCCATCTCCAAAAACCATCTTCGTCTCAATGCTACACTGCGACTCGTCGTAGAGTCGTACATGTACAGTCTACAGAGTCGTCGTAGTCACGCGATCACTGAATTGAAATAAACTATTTTTTTGCGGGCAAATAAACTATTTTTTTGCGGGCAATATCGCATATTATTGCCCGCGGCGCGAAAGGTGCTGATTCGCTGGAGTACGGGCAACACTCACGTGCCATGTGATAAAGATTATTATTATTATCGTCGAATGTCTCAGTACTCTGTCAGTTTTGTGCCTAGTTGTTGCACTTTCTGACTGTATAATCTAGTTACAGTGGTGGAGAGTTACTCTTAACTCGTTTCCATAATGTCCTTTTCCTTTCTACTTTTATTATTGGCTCAATACCCGAGTTTTATTATTATTATTATAATAATAATTATTATTGCTGTACCTGGCGATCCACGCGTAGCTCACAAGGAAGTTGAGAAACGTGCCAAGTATCAACTTCTTGCCCGCGAAGTCCATCGGCTATGGCAAGTTGAGACTCCGATTGTTCCTGTTGTAGTTGGGACTTTGTGCACTGTTTCCAAACAGTTGCCAGGATACCTTGACACCATCGGTATCACCAGCTGCCGATCTGTGTCTTAATTAATTTGCAAAAGAATGCTCTCCTTGGCTCCGCAGCTATCCAGCGAAGGTCCTTGATTTGTAATGCTCTGGGGTGGATGGTGGAGTTCTTTCGGTCCTATTTTCCTCCAATCCCTCTACTGTATCATATGATCCATATTGAATTGTTTACCTACCATCATAATTATTTTAAACTATCCATATGATGCATGGCCCGACCTTTGACTGCTGGATGCTAGCCTGGTGGGTGCCTATCTCTGGCCCTCGGCCGGGGTGCTGATGGATAATAATAATAATGAGCCTTATTTCAGGATTACCCAATAGCTAACCTATCTGGGTCCGCAAAGTCACTGTCAGTGAGTGTGAAAATATCAACAAGGACGACGAGTTTCGCTTTAAGCATTTCCTATACAATGTCATGAATGTCGACATGAAACACGTCTTTACATTATCACCAGTTTAGTTTTTCACAGTGTTTTGCACTTCAACTTGGTTCTTTTTCTTACTCTAGCTCTATCTTCAACCCTCAGTGAAGTGTGTCCTATGCTTATCCCTTTCAGTACAAAAGGGTGTAACGGGGTCCAAACCCCTAGGATACGCTACAAGGGCGCCATGATTTTCACTATCTATTCTTAGCCATGAAGTTGATTGTTCCAACTAGGAACACATGCTTCTTGCCGAACTTGACACTTGACTGACTCACGAGTCGACTGCCATCCGGAGCACACGAGGAGCACGCCGCACCTTCCACTCGGCAAACCTGCAAGAAAGCACCACTCCCTGCTCAATACACAGTGTTTCGGGGAATTCACCCCTCATCAGTTGAGCTTGAGTAGGCTGAGGAAGATTGTGCCTGAAAAGCACCACTTATACTGCTCTCCAGACTAAACCATCACCAGGGATTCTTAGCCATTCTACAATATCTACATGACATTGAACTTCGAAGTACATATGTACATGTACTTCAGTACATTATACATGTACCTTCAGAATCACTTACGAGAGTTTTATGCTCGAAAAAGCCATAATATCAGTGTGTGAAGGAATTCAGTACCAACGGATGTGTCGCTTTGCTGGCCGTGTGCTGTGGCAACGTCGTGTCGGGGCTGACTGAAGAGCTCAGGTATGGTGCGGTGGGTGATGGAAAACACAGGTACTGTAAAAGCCATTATTCTAACGAGGCGCATACATGTATATAAGGATTTCCCAAAATTGACTGGTTTACGTGTACCAAAAGTAACGATTCCCACTCATCTTCAACGTTCAATAGGACAGTATATGTATCGATTTCTGTATAACAATTTCTATTTTAACGACAGATTTCTCCTCGTTAACTCGTTAGAGCTATCACTTCGTTATAATAGTATGGCTTTTACTATAGCATACTGACTATAAGGGTGAGAGCTCAGACTTACATGTAGCGCTCCAACACAGCACTGCGAGTATTCACACCAGAGGCCCAACAAAATTGAAATAATGAATAATTTGAAAGGTTCAGCAGCATTTTGAACATTTGACAATTTGAGCCGACCAACACACTATTCTCTCCGGATTCCCACAAACTCTCGCTACTGTTGCGGCGCATGAGAATCATTAGAAGAGGGTGTGTGTGTTGCCAGATAGCGTCTGCCTGGTTTGTAGACCTACTAGTACAAGTCATGTACATGTACATGTTGTTAGTTTGACAGCATGAAACAAGGTGGAGGACACTGTGTTCGGAAACAGTGACCTTACTACAAGTAGGGACCGGCAGATTCTGCTCGAAAAGCAGTGAAATTGGCAGAACCATACAAACCTTATGGCGGGCAATTACTTGAATTCTGCTCCATTTCTTTATCCACATACCAAACATGCATGAAACTTACCCGAAAAAGTACCGAATTCTGCCAATCTTTCTGCTGGCAGAATCCATTATATACAGTCAGAAAGTGCAACAACTAGGCACAACATTGACAGAGTACTGAGATATTCGACGTCTTGACACCTAGCTTCAACGCATCTCCTTAGCGCTAACCGACAGCCTTCCGACTCGGAAGGCTCAAGGTTATGGAGTAGGCATATGCGATAATGGCGGCAGAAAAATTGGCATAATTTGGTACTTTTTCGGGTAGGTTTCATGTCATGTTTGGTATGTGGATAAAGAAATGGAGCAGAATTCGAGGAATTGCCCGCCATAAGGTTTGTATGGTTCTGCCAATTTCACTGCTTTTCGAGCAGAATCTGCCACCGTTTCAAGCAATATCCGCCAATTCCTATTATGGAGAGACCAAAGCGGGGAAGGTTACTAGTAAGCGGAACGAAAATGAGCACAAGCTACAGTCCCAACGGAACAAAGAATGTCGATTGTTACTGGACGATGACGAGACCAGTAGGATACTTGACAAAGCGGTCTAACTACAATTCGAAGCAGCACAGCAGCACACCACCCAACTTGGGTGGCTCAGAAATATCAAAAGATAAGTACAGAAGCCTGAGAAGGGGGAAGCTTTGCGAAAACGAATTGTACAACTATTGTCAACTATTAAACTATTGAATTGTCAACTAGTCCATCACAATGTCATGCATGAGGAGTACTGTAGGAGGTTGGCGTTCGGCTTGTACAATTCGAGAACCTTTCAGGAGTGCATTCGATCGGGCTCTGGCAAGCTTCCAGAACACTCTGTGGACTGGGTTGTCCCCATGAGTGCTGTCACCGCCCAGCTGATTGAGACAAATACTGGGGAATGCCGTTGCTGCTGAAATATATGCTGCCAAATGTCGGACCTCTTCCTCTTTAGACTGCAAATTACCTGCAGCATGCATGACACGCACAAAATATGAGGGACCACAAATTTGATACAATCCTGAGAAAATGAAAGCAATGGTCGGTGGTCCACTGTAATGAACAACTCATTGCAGCCGACATTCCGCTCATTATACACCGCCTTTTTTCACGTGTCTACACAGATTTAAAATGGCAGCAAATTAGAAAATAGGCAGTGTGGACACAACTGATGAAGTATTACATAGATGCCGCGTATTGGGTTCACGCCGTCATGTGACACACACAGAGACAAAGACAAAGAGAGACTGAGAGAGAGACATGGAGGGATGTAGCTAGAGACCAATGCCATATTTCTCCTTCAGGTCCTCATCATTTTCATCTTGTTATGATTTACGATGCCAGAACACGTCAAATGAATTGCCGTATCCAACCAGATAGAGCATAATACTCAGCTAACATGTATTGATGCCAGGAGTTATTTATTTATTCTGCACCTCGTGGCATGTCAAGACAGCCAATTGAATTGAGGAGAGGGTGAGACCACCCACGGAAGAGAAAAAAGACGCGACGTACGGATCGACGGGAAGCGACGGGACGGTCTGACGGCGTCCAATGTGAACACCAGGCAGGAACGGGAACGCAACCGTTCTACCGTACAGATCGGGAAGCGACGGGAAGAGTTGGATCAATCCAACTTTTCATACCATAGACGGGCGTAGACGGGGACGCAAGCGTACAAAACGGCTGAAATTCGAGTGTGAACAGGAGACGGCATCGTGCGCCCACTACTCCCGATTCGTACTTGGACATTTTTAGCATTTTGAACACTGTGCTTCCCATGATAACTCACAGAATGGCTAGCACGACTTGAGTTGAATTTTAGCAACAGAAGATCTCATGTCACTTATTGTATTTAGGGATAGTTCAGAAGCGTGACAGACGAACTATTCTATCATTTCCAGGGGCTATTATTTGAATGCCACAACTTTCAGGGCTAATTTTTTGGTCTTCATGAAAAACTGGTACTGTGAACTTGATTCCGCTCAAGGGGAAATAATTGAAAAGAAGTCCCGGAAAACGAGAAATTAGGCCCGAAAGTCACCCCGTCACGGACCGTGCCTTATGACTCGCGCCGTTCGACGTTGAACGTCTCAACGACTGCTGCATGTCGTGTCGTACGAATCGTACAGGATTTTACAGCTCACCCCAGCCCTCCCTAAAAGCCATTACGTACCGTACCGTCGGCGTTGCGTCGAATGTGAACGAGGCCGGTGTTATGCCCGCAGTGTTGTTGTTGTTGTTGTTGTATACTTTATTTATAGTGGAAATGAAAACAGGCAAAATGCCTAATAACATTGGACCCACTGTGAATAACATGTTAAAGGATATTGTGGAAAAGAAGATACAAGAGAAAAAGAGAAAGGAAAAAACGGAAGGTTGGTTGCAACGAACAGATATCAATCCAGTGAGCATTGGAAAACCTATGTCGCTGATAATATTATACTGCAAGGCTTGAGATTTAAAATCCAAATACCTATTTGAACATTTTGCTGCTGGTGGCAATCTATTCCACATAATGGCTCCAGCGTGCGTTAGGCGCTTAGCAGAACGAGCAGTGCTAGCAGGTGGGACCACAAGCAAGTTGCTTTGGCCTCCCCGAGTGCGAGTTGAGGGCACGACAGCAAAAAAGGACTCAAACAGGGTGCTACATGCATCATGCAAACATCGCCAAATGAAACAACACATATTCAAGTGCACAGAAACCTGTAGATCACATACATGCATTCGATTTAGCAGGGGAGCAGTACTGGTCCACGGTGGCGACTTGCAGACTGCCCGAGCGGCACGTTTGAACAGCCTATGTAGCCGTTGTTCCTGGGCAACTGTCAAATACGGGTAGTAACTAAGAGAAGCATACAAAAATTCAGGCAAAATGATAGATCTGAAGTAGGTGAGTCGGCATGGATATGGCAGCGAGGAAACATGTCGCAGCAGGACAGCAATTTTGCCGGCAGCACGACGAGCAACATGGTCCACCATTGTGGTCCAACTCATGTCCGAGTCAAAATGCAGGCCAAGGTATTTGGCAGATGTGACTACTGGTAGGACTTGTGAATTGCATACAACATTGATGTCGAGGGCTGCAGCTCTATGGTGTGGTATGGCGAGTATCTGCGTCTTGGTCTCGTTAAGGATCAGTCCACGTTTCTTCAACCAAGTGGCCAGGTACTGAACTGCTGAAGTGAGGCGCTGGGAGACAACTTCTGGCTGTGGACTGCTCGCACGCAGCGAGATGTCATCAGCAAACTGAATAGTGGTGACGTCATGAGGGGCAAGGTCGCCGGCAATATCCCTCATACAGAACGAAGAGCAAAGGTCCGAGAACTGACCCTTGAGGAACCCCTGACTGGCTGTCATAAGTTGTACTTCTGGTTTTTCCTGTCTCCACGTATTGCCGGCAATACATCAAGTAGTCTGAAAGCCATTGCAAAGCAGTGCTAGTGAGACCCAGTTCAAAGAGGTCCTCAACCATAATGCTATGCTTTACCTTGTCGAAGGCTTTAGACATGTCGACAAATGCTACTCCTGTGTGCTGCCCAGCGGATTGTGCTTCATTGATGTTCTCTACAGCTAGTGCTAAGGCATCTGCTGTGGAATGCTGGTGTCTGTAACCAAACTGACTAGTAGGCAAGAAATTGTTCGTGTTGAGGTACTGCAGAAGCTGCTTATGAACAATACGTTCAAGCACCTTCGACACTATCGGCAATAGGGAGACTGGTCGGTAATTCTTGGGTTGGCTGGGGTCTCCAGCCTTGAACAGAGGCCGTATCTTACCCACCTTCATTGCCGCAGGAAACTGTCCATCTCTCAATGACTTATTAAATAGTAGCGTGAGTGACGGTGCCAGGATGTCAGCATGCATCTGGAGGAGACTTGCTGGAATATCATCACTCCCAGTGACTTTTCTGGTGTCCAACTGTTCCAACATTTTCCGAGTAGTTGCAATGGAGACTGGCGAGAATTCCGAGAAGTGCACCGCAGGTGGAGGCCCAAGGGGTAGGCGTAGCTGTGCAGGGCGAGCTGGATCTTCCACAACTTTCGAAAAAGTGTCTCGAATCGCATCCACCGTGCACTGTGGATCCCTGTACGTCGACTGTTTGGCTGTCAACTCCTTGATTATTTTCCAAGTCTCTCTGGCATTTCCAGTACATTGCTGAAATTTGGAGTTGTAGAATTCCTGTTTCCGGGTCCTGTTGTAGCTAGTTGCCGCACGTCTGGCTGTACTAAATTCATCATAAGTCTCCTGTGTCTTAGCAGAGAGCCACCTTTGGTGCAACCTGTTCCGCTTGTGTAGTAAGTACAACAATTGCCGGTCAATCCATGGCACCGAAGGCTTCTTCGTTCTGTGATTACTTTGAAGTGGGGCATGGACATCCAAAACCTCAATAAACCGGCTAGACCACTCGGTCCACATGGCGCTTGGGTTGCCTGTAATACTACACAAGTTCTTCTGGGTTAAATCACGCCGGAAGTGATCGTGGTTTATCCGGTGATAGTTGCGGTATAAACGTGTGGTGTCAGATCCACGAGGCACAATGAGGTGAAAGTCACTGGCCACGGCAGCATGGTCACTGGACGCGACCGGGATGATCTTCGCTGCAGTGGAAGGATCAAAATTGTTCAGTATCAAATCGAGGGTGCTGTCTTGTCCTGTTGAGCTAAATCGCGTAGACTTGTTGACACCGTAATGCAGAGCATAGCTGTTCAGCAAGTCAGATAAGTAGTGATACTGAGGGTCCCTGGCACTTAGGTCAATATTCACATTAAAGTCACCACAAACAATAGCATTTGGCTGTGGCCTTAGAGCAGCGCAAAGATGTTCGTCTAGCTTGTCCCAGTAACCCACCTGGGCGTAATGGTAGATGGGCAGCTCTCCTGGGAGCCTCACGTCAATCACACAATCCAGCAGGTGCGCTGTGGCGAAGCCTCACCCTGGCGTCAAAGATCCTGTTTTACAGGTCGATGATCCAGGGTAGGTTGTCGTACGCTTCCAATGCGCCTTTTATCCGTCACTTCAAATTGGCAACATGGAGCCCCTCACACGTCCAACGAAGTGCGCTATCCGCGGCTTCTTCCGTCTGCCACCGTGGTCCCGCACGAGCCCGATCTTTGAACAGCTCCGCCTCACCACCCTGGAGGACATGTTTAACATTAAGCTCCTCATCTTTGTCCGTCGTTGTCTGTTCTCCCGAGCTAGCTCCCTCTTCACCAGCTTCTTCGTGAGAGTTACTGGTGACCGCACTCGGGGAGCAGCACATCACCTCGTTCGAGTACCATTTTGGCCCGGGTCCTGCCGGTCGAGCGACCATGCAGTTCATCGGCGCAGTCCTGTGGAACCAGCTCCCGCCTGATCTCCGTTCCAAGCCCAGCCACCTTCAGTTCTGTGCCCTGCTAAAAGCGCATCATGGCTCCGTTTAAATGCTTTTCCGCTAGTGTGTTTCTGTGGTATAGCGGACTGAAGAATAGTAAACGTGTTTTGCAATATATGTATGAAGCTATTTTGCATATAGTATGTTCCCATTCCATTTTTGCTTTGGTGTAGCCCTGAGGTTGATTGCTTATTTATTTCTACCCTTCCTCTCTCCATACTTCTGTCCCCCCCCCCCCTCTCTCTCTCATTCCTTCTGTCGTCCACATTTAACAAAGGAGGCGAAATCGCCTGTTTGTGGTGCGACGTTAAATATACTTCTACAACAACAACAACAACCCACAGGTTCAGATGGAGGGCGGTAGATAGTTCCAACAAGACAACTGCGGGGTTTGCAAGCGACTTCACACCAGCAACTTTCCACACCATCCGTTGTTACTGCGTTGCAATATACCTCGCATTTGTGTTTCCTGAGTTGCAACAGAATACGAGAGCTAAAGTCACCGGTATACAACTGTTTTACAAGTTTTTAGCGTAACAATAGCAAGGTAGAAAGAACACACTGGCAGCAATAGTTATCATTCTGTTGTAACTGGCCTCCCGGGAACAAAGCTTGACACAATACTTTCAGGACATTTAGCGTTAACGTAAACAGACTATGTACTGTATCAGCCAAATGAAGCACTTAATTTAAACCATTCTTGATCACATGGCGTGGAGAAATCAAGCACCACAGTAGGCCCACAAATGTTTGTGTACGTACTGTTAGCCTGGCCTTGCGAATACATGCGGGCTATGGACGCTGTGTCAAGCTTTGCTGAAGACGTCACAGGTTCTGTTTTCTTGCATCTGGAGGTGCCACTTCTGTTGCAGGCATACGTTGAACCGCCTTAACAAACAAAGTTCATTCGTCAAAAGAATAGCATCACGATTAGTTGCGTTAAAAGGTAAAAAAACATGGAAAATCGCACGAGGACAAGTTATGAGTAAGGGCATGTTCGATTGGTAAGGATCGGGATCTGGATCCAGATCTCAGATCCCTCGGATCCTTCAGATTCAACTGAACACTTTATTTTGGACCTTGACTGTTGCCATGTTGAAAATGGCGCTCCCAAGTCACCCAAAAGGGTGAACGTCGTACTCCTCGTGTGCGTCGTACAAAAAGTCAAGAAGCTCTATCTCCATCCACGTGTGCGTACCACAATGTGTACAAAAATGATTTTTACCCGCCATATACGCACAAAGGTCACATTTGGATCCGTTGGATCTGGTCAACCCTGCTCCCCGAGGTGGGTTGATCGGATCCAAATCCGAAGGATCCGGATCCGGATTCGACCAATCGAAAGGGTGCGAATCCAGTGGATCCGGTGGATCGGGATCCCGATCCTACCAATCGAACATGCCCTAACTGTCCACTACAGTTACAAGATAATAAGTCAGAAAGAGCGATAACTTAGCACGAAATAGAGTTTTTAATGCAAAGTTTTTTTTTCACTTCACCCCAGCCACTCAAATACACATTAGTAAACTCACTGTCATCAATTTTAACCTCAATCTTTTGTGTATGCAAGAAACAAATCATGTCAATGGAAAGATGAAATGGCGGGCCAACAATAAGGACCGAGAACCTACTGTTGTTGGGTATAAAACTCTCGCGTAGAACATATGCAGCTTTTCTATCATTATACTATTTTCCTTCGTTGACAAACCGTTAGAACACAGTCAGTGGAAATCACCAATTCGTCGCTCTGGGTTTCATCCACTTGACAATAATATCAGATTATCAGATTACAAAGGAGTAATAGGGCTTTAGCATAGGGAGCTTACCATGACTATTTGAGCCGCGTGGCTTCACAAAGTGGGTCCCTGCGGCAGATTCCTCTTCTTCCTTCCACTGTAAGAACTATAATGTTCATATTCGCTTTCACGTTGTTGGGTTCTATGCCCGTTTGGATTTGCGAATCAAAATAAATACAAACAAACAAACTCATCACGGCTGGCGAAACTTCTTTCTTCTATTTCTATAGAATATCATAGAGAGAAAATGCATTTGGAACTGTTGCAGTGGGTGGAATAATACCCCTCCGAGCCCGTACCATATTCACCTTATGAATACTTGGCAAGGCGTTGACGGAAATTGCATTGAACAGATACGACTTTTGACACGAATACTGATACTGAGACCTCTTTCAGCACGCGGCCTATGTGAATGTGTCTAATACAAAATATACAAGAGTACTTTTCCATCTAGGCAAAATGTATCGCCTGCTAGACCATTCGTACATACATGTAGGTAACCAATGACAACTGAGCACTGTGTTCATCTCCAGGCATTGGCTTCTTCCCCAGCACTGGTGCCGGGCACTCACTGCCTCAGACCCTCAGGAATGTACAATGGAGCAGGGTCAATGAAAGCGTCATCGTGACGCCAAGAGTACATCAGGTTTTGGTATTCTTCACTTGGTGACGCTCGACTCTAAAGTAGACAGTACGCTTGGTGTCAATGAGAAACTAGCAGAAGCAAATCACAGTGAAAATACACGACAACGTTTTTGGATGGTTTCTCGTCGCTGCATTTTGATAAACAAACTCCAAGCCAACCGATATTTTCGGGCTGCGGCAATCATCTGGGTTGGTAGTAAGTGAGAACATCTTTGGACGTGGGAACTCATTAGTAAATCCTCGTATTTACTATCCATGTACATGTAACTTCCAATTACCTACTAACCTAGTTCTTGCTTGTGCTTCTCAATGTAGTGTTGAACAAGATACCACCTCACCTGCCTAAAGGAGCCCTCGCATATCAGGCAAGGGTGAAACTTGTCCTCGCTGTAGGGGGACAAGGAAGCGTGGTAGCGGAGCTTGTGCCTAGCTAAGGCTCCTTTGCTTGCACAGGACTTATCGCACACGGCGCATATCTGCACGAAAATTAAGACAAAGAAGCCAAAGACGCCTTCTTCCGATAATTTAGATCAATGGATGTAGTACGGCTACCAGCTGCTAGCAATGATCGAAATACGCCAATAACATGAACCATAGTACCGTGAAGTGGTCTTTCACAAGCTTACCTCGACGGTTGGAGCGCCGCGGAGCTGCTTCAGGTGCAAGCCTCTTTGCATGGTAGTGCAACTACTGGCAAGACGACCCGACAACTCAGGAGACCATTGCATAATAATAATACTTCAAAGTATTAATAATTTCAAAGTTTTGAAGGACGCTTCACACAACTTCATTACACTTGAACATTGTTTGCAGGCAACCTGCCTACACTCAACCTGCCTACACTCAAGTCAAGAGAGCACTGCATTTCACACAAATCCATTAGAGGTCTCGTTTCAACGTTTCGGTCTTCATGACCATCATCAGGAATGAAGTGGACATGGAAAAAACAGCAGTATAAAAGAAGGAAGCAAAGCGCGGAACCAAGTGACAGCGCGCGTAGAGAAGTGCGAAGCACGTCGTAGCGAGTGCATTGCTACATGTACATGACAACACAAGCACAAACAGCGAGGAAAGTAGTCTGTGATTGCGCTACAGCAGTGATACAACTTGCACAGTTCCAGTCTCACACCTCCAGTGAGGTGTGTATAGAACCCCGCGCCACTCGCAGTAAACATGGAAATGCATTCAATGCCGGCAAAACGCACAGATCAGTACCACAACATCCCATGCATGATGCTGTAGGTAGCTGAGTAAGAAAGATTATGACCATGGTAGAATGTGGGAGAATACTCCATAAAAAGTGGTAGCCAAGGTACATGTACGTGGAGGCACAACATTGGATGGGACCTGCACCACCTGTGCGGCCATATTTAATATTTCTAGCTTCTAGCATGCATTCTGGGTGATACAATCGGCACATGTGTGTGGGCAATGCATTGCCCACACACATGTGCCGATTAGAAGCTAATAATATATGGCTGCACAGGTGGTGTTAACGTTATAGCAGGTCCCAGCCACTGTTGTTGTTGATTTCCGGGGATCGTTCCCTGATGTTGATGGCCTCTCGGATCCTCCTCCTGGGGCGGTCACGCTCAGAACCAAGAACCCGGATACCCGAGAAGGCCGTTGCTCCCAATGGTAATGGTTCAGAGGCATGCTTGGCTGCAAAATGCTCACCCAGCGCGGTGCCGCTCACTGTGATAACAACACTCGTCGCAAGGTGGAAAATTATCAAATTCAGAACGACACAGAAGACAAAACTCGAAGGAGAATAATAATACTTGCAGTGACAATAACATGGTGAGCAAATGAAGTCACATTATTAACACCTCGACGAGGAGTAACACCAAACAATTGTAGCGACAACATAGTCATATTCTTTCTGTACGCAAAGTTCAGGATCTAACTTACGGATATACAAAGCTTCTAACACAGCAAAATGCAATGCACATCTACCACGTGACAATATTGAGAAAACATTATCGCACTTCGTCAATCAAGCAACATCTGTCAGCCCGTACCAATTGTCGTGAGTTGTACAGTGATAATGTTTGGGAGAACGCATGGAGGGCCCTAGGCATTGGCGGTTTATGCTCGAAAAGGTGGCAGATTCTGCTCCAAAACTGCAAAAGCAGTGAAATTGGCAGAACCATACAAACCTTATGGCGAGCAATTCCTCGAATTCTGCTCAATTTCTTTATCCACAAACCAAACATGCATGAAACTTACCAGAAAAAGTACCGAATTCTGCCAATTTTTCTGCCGGAAAAATCCGCCTGACCCTACTTACCACTATCTACTACCAGTACCAGCATGTACCAGTTATGTCTTATGATTGGGTCGTCATGGCTGAACTGTGGGAGCCCATGGCCACCCACACAAGTGACAACTAAACAGCCAGCGCTAGACGGCTAGAGTCGCGTCGCATGATGATACTAAATCGGCTTGTTACCTGGGTTACTAGTACATACATGTACATCGTCCAAACACACGCTAGGTTGACAATAATTATGTTTATTTTTTTTTCTGGAATGGCCGTCAAACTGTCTCAAAGATAGGACATTCTGCCACATGTACATGTACTGTACCTTCATTTTCGTTACTTTCGGTGCAGCTCTTTCACACCTACATCATACATCATACATGTACATGTACATGTACATGTACATGTCTATGTACATGTACATGTACATGTACATAGACATTGCTACAATTTAATTATTTCTTTGCCACACGAATACAAAACACACGCATCATCCAATAGGGTAGACTGCTTCTCTGTACCTACATGCACATGTATAATCCCTGATAATTTATGTAAACAAAAGTTTCTGTTCACCTAATCTGGTGATTTGCACTCATACAATGTACATGTACCTAAAATAGGCTAAAATAGACCCCTTGCCATGCATGCATGGCGCCCAGACCCTACTTGTACTAGTTCACTCATAGAGGCATACAGTGATGGGTCTGCACACCAGCTGACCAAGACTCTTGATGAGAGTCAGACTACGGCCTGGGCAGACGCATTCACAAGGGAGCTAACATTTTTGCCGATACAAAGACAGTCGATTGTCGAATGACACTTGACAGGAAGAAAGGCAGCACCTAGCAGACCTGCTCCGGTCCTACTACTGACTGTACTACTGTACTACAGCGCTGGCAACTGAAATCCGACCCCTGAGCGGTGGGTTCACATTCTTCGCGATGTGAGCGCACCGCTCAGGTCAGGGGTCGGATTTCAGTTGGCAGCACTGTAGTGTATAACTATAATCATTGTACATAGTTTGTACAGTCATGTACGGTCAACTTCGCTAATAACGACATCGGATATAACGACAATTCGCGAATAACGACAGAATTACCATGCCCCGAGCAAAGTCCCATCCCACTGTAATACATAATGAGACTTCGGGTATAACGACACTTCGCGAGTTCGAGACCCGCGCTGGCAGCAGGGAGCGTGTAAAAATACTTTTTACGCGTGTTGAACTGCGCCGACACCCACGGTCAACTGGGTACTCACAGCTCGAATGAGGATAACAAGGATCTAGGATGCAGTTTACAGGGTTATATATGGGCCGTTACACGCCCGATTGGTTGAGAAGACTCACCTCCTCTCCCCTGACTGACTCACTTGTGAGGTCTGCATTCGCCACTATATATATATGAGCCGGCGCAAGCGAAAAGGGACCTTATCCTGCTGCACGTGATTTTGAGAAAACCGCACTTGAAGTGAATCAGCTGATTCTCAGCTGTCACGTTCGGATCGAACTTGAAACTGTTCGTTTTTTGGCGATACGCGACTTCTTTGGAGCTCAGTCATTCTTTGTATTGGAGAGCCAGTATCCTACAGCTCCTGTAGAAGAAAACCCTGGCTAAATCGACCCACGTACCACCGATCGGCGATCAAAATCGATCGACCGTGACCAGGTGACACGTCGACACCTCCGCTGAATAAAATCGCACGCGCGAGCGGAAAGACAACGAGTTGCTTTCACAGTTTCAGCGCAGTTGTCTTGCCGTCTTCGCTTTCTGCTAAGTCCTTGGGTCGGCGTAGCTGTTCACTATGAGCCATCGTAAATGTTTCACCGTGAACGAAGCGCTGAAATCTCTCCTGGAAGAGATGAGGCTGAAGTTTTTGGTGAGGAAGACGAGTCGGACGCCAGTGACGTTCGGTTCAACCTGACGACGGCGACACTTTCTTCAGCAGCGAGTGGATGTCGACGCAGCAGCAGAGCTGTATGTCGGAAAGGCAGAGCCCAAACCTCCGCAGGCTAGCTCCGCAGCAGCTTGTGAAGCGACCGTTGCGCCGGCAGAGGAGGACGACACTGTTCGTCAAAAAGAGAACTGCGGATGTTCAAAAAATTGCTTGCAGCAATTTGACCCAGCTGACATCGAGACGTCGATCCTGAACATGAGAGAAATGGAGTTGCACGAGATTGAGCTGGTGGTCCTGGGCCTTCTTGAAGCTTTGAGTAATCCTGAAACAGTTTTTGAGAGTGGAGAGAAGCGCAAGAGGGAGCGTTTTACCTACAAATTCCAAGGACTGACTGTTTGTGTGGGTGCGTTCCGTCACGTGTACGCACTGTCTAGCAAGAGGCTGAAACGGTACAGAAGCCACCTGGAGAAGAATGGGCTTGTGCCACTAGTGCACGGCAACACAGGCAAACGGCCACACAATGTCCTGGAGTTTGCTGTTGTGAAGTACTGCGTGGAGTACATCACTCGGCACGGAAGTGTTTGGAATTCCACATCCTGCGCCACTCCGTGGCAGAGACGACACGCCACCTATCTTCCTTCCAGCGTCATAAACCTACAAGTCCGTGCATGCAGACTTCTGCGACTGCTGCCACAAGGAGGGTAAGAAGTCTGTATCCTTGTCGACGTTCCGCTCCATCTGGCACCAGACATTGCCGCATATTAAGTTCATGACGGCTCGCATGGATGTTTGCCCTGTGTGCGAGGACTTGCGGCGCAACGTGATGGCGGCTGGGAGTGAGGAGCAGAAGACGACTGCATGCATCACCTGACTGACCATGTTCAGCTGTTGAAGACCACACCTGAGCAGGTGAGAGCAGCAGGCCTTCCCCAAGTGTTGCCCCCAGCAGGTCTGTCACAAGAACGCCAGAAGTACCTGTTCAAGGATATCCGGCCGTTTGTGGCAGACCCTTACAAGGATGAGCTGTGTCCGCCTGTGCCGGAGGAATGACAAACTTGCGTAGTGCAACACACGTTTTGAGCCTGATAATTGCTAAAGTCTGGTGCTGTGTCAAAGCTACATGCCTCAGAACATTCTATTATTCTTGTTGTTAGATCTAAAATGCGGCGTGCCTGCGTGGTACGGAAGGACGTGATGGCCCATCAGACGTCACGCTTGGCACTATAAATTCCATCACAGTGAAACTTATGCCAACTGCCCAGTAGTTTGTGTATACTGTATCCTCCAGCCCTTCTGCTGGTGACTCGAAGGCTTCTGTAAGGCTTCTATGGCCAAAGTATTGCAATTTACGCATTTCAAAGATTATTCGTGAATATGTGCGATGTTTTGGTGAAAACAGTGTTGATTTAAACGTCCGTAACTTTGCTATATGTTGATGGATTTTCATTCGGTTTTTTTTATCTGATTCATACGTTCTCTGGCTACAAGAATCCGTTGCTAACTCAAAATGCCCAAAAAACGGATAAGGTCCCTTTTCGCTTGTGCTGGCTCATATATATACATATATGGGCACTAAGGTGTAAAGGCATAGTGGTGGCCTGCGGAAGCGAAGGTTACAGCTTGTGTGTTTCTTCTGAACATTCAAGTGATGCTAACGCGGATCCCGCGAATATTATAATTATTATACTCGCGAATAAGGACACCTTTTTGATGCCCCGCCGAGTGTCGTATAGCGAAGTTGACTATAGTACATGTACTGTACTAACTACTTACTACACTGTATCTTGTACTGGCACACCACTACTGTATCTGCATGCTGTGACCAGGTGACCATCTACATTTTTCCCTTGTTGCTGCAGTACACATGCCATGGTACATGTAGATCTACATGACGTATTATGATGGCGCGGTGTCAGCGCCCCCGCCCACGCAATTCTGTACAAATGCTGTGTACGTGTGTGTGCGCGCTGAGCATGAGACTGAGAGTCAGTGCAGCAGCTGCTTGCACTCGCCCAGACGCCCACACTGGCCAGGCTGCATACGTAAATAGGGCCAGTGAAGTGTCGAACAATGACACCACTTCAAGGCACTTGACGTGCAACCAGAATCAGATCGTAGTAAAGTAGTTGGCCGAGGTGCATTCCTTGAATTAATTTCCTTCTCAGTCTGTTTGTTCTACAGACTACACAACAGCGAAGCGTGGCTGCGTCAGCAGTGTGCGTCCCCCGCACACGACTTCCTGACCCCTACTTTCACGAGTCCCAGCTGCGCGCTGCTAGCTGTGAATCCATGTAACTATGTTCCAGACGCGTTCCAGCCTAACCCGCTACATGTATGGCCAGGAAATAAAAGATTTTCGTCCCAGCTGGAACAAGACATAAAACAGGAACAGAGCTCGGAGTCGAGTCGGAGGCTGCATAGGTAGTGCTGTCTTCTTTCTTGTGAGATATTTTGAAAGAGTAGCTTTAGTCAAACATTGTGTTGTGGAATTGAGTTAGTACTAATAAGATTGCCTAGGGCTGCTCGGTAGTGGGGAAACACTTCACCTTGGCGTCTGGAACGAAGCCATCACTGGCGCACAGAGGCTGTGACTGTCGACAACCAAAGACGAGTACAGGTAGTCTGTAGAAGGTGACGGGAAGCAAGGCGATCCCAGTGAATACTTCATTCAAACATCCGGATTCCGCAACTCCTACGCTCCTCGGAGCCATCAACGAAGGTTGCTTGTGAGGCGAAACTCGGGTACAGTTGCGACAGCATCAGCAGCAGTACCATGGCTCGCCTACGCTCCACTGTCGTCGTCGCCGTGGTCGCCTATCTGGCGTATAGCGTGTTCTTCGCGAAGGACGGCCGACGCGAGAGACTCAACGAACAGTTGCGCCGCAATAAGTGCGTCTACAACAGCGAGTTCCGCATGACGCGTGACCAGAGACTGATGAGCTTCTGCAAGGCCGTGTATGACGTGGACGAGAGGGCGCTGGAAAACTGGACGTGCAGTTGGTGCCAGGAGCATCACGCCAACTTTCAACTGCACAAGATAATCTACAAACGTAAATTTAACACCAAAGCACTAGTGGGCTATGACCCGGAGTTGAATGCCACCGTACTGGCGTTCCGCGGCACCACGACTAACGACGTGGACACGAGCCTCTGGAACAAGAACTGGCTGCGGGTGAATCTGAATGGTTTGGATTTCGGAAACACGAGCTGCGTGCCGCATCATCTTGGCAAGACGGTGCCGGGCCGTGTGTACTGCGGCTTCTACGAGGCGTACGTGGATTTCCGTCGCAGCCTGCTGCGCGCGGTGAACGCGTCGCTGCAGCTGCATCCCAACGCGCCGCTGTACGTGACCGGCCACTCGTTGGGAGGTGCTCTTGCGGCGCTGGCAACGCTGGACGTAAGACTGCGCCGCTTTCGCAAGCAGCCCATCCTGGTGACGTTCGGAGCGCCGGAGATGGCGGACCGTGCGTTCAGCACGTACTATTCGTGTGCCATTCGTCAGGCCCTACGCGTGTACAACCTGTTTGATGTGGTGCCGTACTCTATGGGCGATATCCTGAGATGGCCACGGCATGTCGGCAAGGCCAAGGTATCCGACAAGAGTATACAGCTCAGTCTCAAGCCTCACTATAACTACCTGGGTGTCAACACGCATACGTAGTGAGTGAGAGAAAGAGAGGGAGAGTGTGTGTGTGTGTCTGTTTGTGTGCGTGTGTGTGTACATGTACATATGTGCACACATGTGTGCGTGTGCATGCATGCGTGCATGTGATTGTCCGAATTTGGATGTGGCCGAATCCACTGAAAATCATCATTGTCTGCTCTGAACACGGAATTGTATACGGTTTCCAAGACGCAAGAGCCATGCTGCGGTGGAGCTTGGCATATCCCTCTGTTTTCGCTTCCCACCTTCATTGCTATCCTTATGTCCAATCAAGAGGGCTTAGATCATATCTCAAAAAGATCTTCTATTATGTTTAAAAAGTACTATCGCTGCATATTCCAGAATTGATTTTTCTTGATTATCTCATTGATCATCTTGAGTTGACAATTGTTGTTATGAACTTATCAGATCGACTGTAATTATTACCAGTATGATCATTTTAGTTTTACATCAACCACCATACCGCAACTGCGCTCTCTGGCCTACCTCGACAAGTATTTGTTGCCAAAGAAGACCATAGACAATGTGAATGCCGATTATCCCTGCTCACCCTTACTTTCATCAGTATGATGTGTTCATGTACAATTTTTCCCTATGTACATGCTTTGTATTGTCCCTGGACGGAGAAACCTTTCGAAAGAACTACAATACTAGGTCTCAATTTGTGTGTGCGTGTGTGTGTGTGCGCTTGAGTTCCTCTCTCCCCTCTCCTGGGGGAGACCCACGTGACCAATTTTAGCAGTGAGCAAGTACAGTGTGTGTGTTGAGTTTGCTGTGCGCTTTACTTCCCATTGTTCCGCAGTCTAATACTAATAGCACCACACTTCCTTCTCAGAGACATTTTCCAAGTTACAAGTATACATACACGTCATATTCACTGGTTTGAGGCCCGGAAAGACGCAAAGGGGAAACGTCTGAAGAAAAAAATTGACTGTCACCACCAGGACTCGAACCAGGGACCCCCGCTTTGCTCCACATACACTTCGCTTGCTAGAATTAACCGCACGCCCGACTCGCAAGGGAAAAAAAAGATGAGGAAACAAAAAAGAGCGAACAGTACGGAAGGAAAGGACCAAGACAGAACGAACAGGACAGGAATTGAGTGGGACTGCACAAAGTAGCCCAGCCGCCCTTGCCTGATAATGCCGGCAGAAAATAATTTGCCAGCAGAGCAATTCGCAGATTTTCGTTCTTTTTCTGGTAGATCCACACAATGTCATGTATGTTTCATGCATGTCTGGTACATGCATGTCTGGTACATGTATGTGGATAAAGAAATGGAGCAGAATAATAAGGAAGTGCCTGCCATAACCTGGCATAAGGTTTGCATAGTTCTGCTAATTTCAGTGCTTTCAACACTTTTAGCTCGGATGGTGAGCCAATTAAAATTATAATGAAAAAGGAAAAAGGAGAAGGATAAAATGTTACGACTTATGCCTACCGGTAACTGTCCACGAACGTAACCAGAATGTCTCAGAATGTCTAAGTACTCCTTGTCAGTTTTGTGCCATTTTGTCGCACTCGCTGACGGTATAAGATCTGGTTACGTTGGTGGACAGTTAGGCATTACACATTTTGTCCTACTTTTTCACCGCAACACTTTTAAATAATAATTTGTTGACTTTGATGCACTGATGTACTGATCGATATGTCTGCTACAACCAGAAAAACTAGGATACAGTAGTTTTCACCAATTGCACGTCTTAGGCGCAAAGGCTAGTGCTAAGCAAAAGAACAAGGGGGGCAAATACTGCGATAAACTAAACGGGTGATAAACTGTTTCATAGTAGCCAGGTGTGATAGGACGGCTGTGAGTAGCAAGAAGCAACCGCGGCTAGTAGAAGCCACTGGGACGACAGCGTGAACAAGGCCAGGACACACTGCATGGGAAACAGTGCTCCTGACTACAAGTAATCACTAGTAGTTAGTAGTTAGTTACAACCATAAACCGGTTGGCAAGACCAAGACTCTACCAACCGGTTTATGGTTGTTTATCACTCCCTTAGTATTGACTCGCATAGATTTTAGCCATACCTAAGCAGTCAAATATTCCTGCATATTTCACTCCTTAGGGCTATATTGACCGCTTATACATGTATTTGACTCCTTTTTAGGGCCTGTCCAGACTAGGTAGAAAACCACGTAAACACGCCGTAAACATGCTTGTTGCCAAGGTGAGTGACGAAAAATGGCCGAAAACGGGGAACGTGGGATTCACGCGGAACGTGAGTCGCGGACCCCTGTACAAAGCACGTTTCTCATCTACGTGCCGTTTTTGCAGTGTTTGTTGTGTGAGCCTCGATGGAGTTTGTGGATCGCAGTTTTTTCTTGCTGTTTCCAGCTGCCGCTTGTTTTCGCTTTGGAGTTGCCACACGTCCGTTTCAGCGACCACTCGGAGGCGACATTGATACAGTCATGGCTGGACATGCAGAGAAATCCCGGGGGTCTGATGAAGAGGAAGGTGTAGTGCGAGACTCGGAGAATTCACTGAAAATTTGATCTAGCACTGATTTGAAAGAATTGTTTGGAGAGGAAGCAGAACCCTCTTGTGACCAAAATTGACAACGTGAAGGCCAAAGCCAGGGAGTTTTACTGGAAATACACGGCGGCCACCAACACTGGTTATAGTATGTTCCCATTCCGTTTTTGCTTTGGTGTAGCCCTGAGGTTGATTGCTTATTTATTTCTACCCTTCCTCTCTCCATACTTCTGTCCCCCCCCCCCCCCTCTCTCATTCCTTCTGTCGTCCACATGTATCAAAGGAGGCGAAATCGCCTGTTTGTGGTGCGACGTTAAATAAACTTCTACAACAACAACTGGTTCGTCAAGCGATGCTACAGCCGGCCTCGACCTTGGCGCTGCGCTGCCGCGAGAGTCACACGGTTGCCAAATTTCCGCACCTGGAACAGAGTTCGGGGTGATATTCCTTGAGCTCGGCGTCAGTGCTGCCATCGCTGGCCCGCCACTTGTTTTGTAGCTAGCTGGGTAGGTCTAGACCAAGCCAGGGAGTCCTTTCCTGGTCTACGCGCTACAAACATTGTGCAATAGAGAAAATATGAACAGGTACACGACGTAGTTACACTGGTGACAGAGTGCAGTGTGGACAGAGCATCGCGTGTACGTCACGTAGATCTACTCTGGAACGGCACACCGTTTTTATTACATAGTGTGGATAGGCCCTTAAGGTGGCAGACTACCCAAAAATTCGCTGAAAATCGAATTTGTAAATTCATATTGAGTGCTACGTCAGTTGAAAGAGCATGAATAGCTGCAAATTCTCTGAAAATTGTGTCCCGATCTGACCTGCCGTTCAAGAGTTATGGCCGAAAATGTGCCCTTGCAAGGAAAGATTTTTTTGTTGCACGCTGTCATTTGTTGGCAGCACTGTATTTATTATTATTATTATTATTATTATTTTTTCTTATTTTGTTAGGGATTTCCCAACAGGCAATGTTGCCTTTTTACTGGGAACCCTAAATGAGACTTTGTGTGAGCGCGAAACAAAGCAGGCGACTCGGCCAGGCGACAAGATGGAGGCAGCGCATTCCACCTGTCGGCACCAAGATACGCAATGGAATGGAAACCATACCGGGAGTGGCAGGCAGGCAAGACAAGAGCAGCTGTAGCTTGGCCCCGAGTTGTGGCAGCAGAATGTGGGCCAGTGCAGCGGGGAGTGAATAGGAGGCTGAGAAGTGGGCTAGATAAACCATGCAGACAGCGAAAGACAAAGACGTATTGCTTGAAATTTAAGCGTTGCTCTAGTGTGTAGATCTTGGTGTAAGCGTACAGGGTCTCAGTGGGAGTTCTGCGGTCAAGGGCAAATATTCTTTTAAGACTAGTACGGCTGGCTGTGATCAGCTGGTTGTATGAACGGTGAGATAGACAGTTAATGTAGGCAGAGCTAGCATACTCAAGGGTGGATTGAATAATAGATAGATAGAAAAGACGACGCGCTCTGTGGTTCAGGTTCTGCCTGGCATGCTTGTAGGCTCCGACCTTCTGCTTGACGGCAATGCAAACTCGCTCTACTTGAGCATCGAATGCCAAGTGCTCATCCACAATGAGGCCCAGGTATTTGGCTGTGTGCGCAGGATAGAGAGTGGAGTTGCGGCATGATATGGACATAGTGGTGGGTAAGGGACTAGTTGGGCGACGTAGTAGCAGAAATTGTGTCTTATCAGGGTTAAGAACCAGTCCCTTCCCTGTAAGGTAGCTGTCCAGAGCAGCAAGGTCCGCCGTGAGACGCTCCAACACAGTATCACAGTCACTATGCCGGACATAAAATGCAATATCATCGGCATATTCCTGGTCTTGGCTAAACCTAAAACAGGGTGTTATGTCGCGAATGTAGATACAAAACAAGACTGGGCCCAGAACGGAGCCTTGGGGCACTCCTCTGGAGCATGGGCGTGACTGTCCAAGTTCCTGATCAACTCTCACAGTTTGTATTCTGTCAGACAGGTAGCTACAAAACCAATTCAAGGCAACATCTCTGATGCCTGTGTCATGTAGACTCTGGATGAGGGCGGAGTGTGCCACTCTGTCAAAAGCTTTGCTCATGTCAGCGAAGATGACACCACAGTATTCGTTGCTATCCAATGCAGAAAGCCATCTGTTCACAGCTAGAGCCAAGCAGTCTTCGCAAGAGTGGTTGCGACGGTATGCAAATTGAGAGTCTGGTACGTGTTCAATGCCATTATCTGCGAAGAATTTCGTTATCTGGTCCAGTACTATTCTTTCTAATACCTTGGCACATATAGGCAGCAGCGAAACTGGGCGGTAGTTTGCCGCCAGATCAGGGTCTCCAGATTTCATAAGTGGACTTATGATAGCTTGCTTAAAGACGGTGGGGACATTACCAGTTTGGAGGGACTCGTTCACTATGTCCGTGAGGTACTCAGCAATAGCATCTCCACCATTCTTCAGTATGGATGGTAGCACGTTGTCTGGACCTGGGGATTTGCACAAATTAAGAGACTTCAGAATATCGGACACGT